CCCAGACATTCCTCTCCTCCCACCACAGTTAGAAATATAAACTGCACATCTCAACAATTAAACCTACCCAAACATAGCAGCCAGGAGGGCAATTCCTTTTTAAGGTCCCAGGGATTCTAAGGCTAAAGCCAGAAACCCACTACTGGAGCAGGATCAGTTTCAGCTTATAAACACATAGAATAGTTATGCCAGAGATCTCACTGCCTGCCCTGTGACTAGGAATAAAGCAGCAATTTATACAACTGCCATTGTTGCCACACCAAAGGAGCTGGAATAAAAGCTTAGATCTCTCAAAATGAGGGTTTTGCCATTGCTTTCACCAGCCAGGACTTTCAGGGTTTGTTGTTGTGGTGGTTTTTTATGAAAAAAAAAAAAAAGAACCTTCAAGCCAGAGCTCTGAGTACTGTTTCAAATCTTAGGTACTGTTACACATACAAGGACTGAAAACAGAAGAGAATGTCAGATCTCAGTATGCTAAATTTAAACCCTTATATGTGACTAATGCACTGCTTGCAGTGACAGAAGCATGTGAACAGTTAGGCTTCCTACCTGAGAGTCAGTTAGCTGAAAGCGATCTTTGAAAGCCATGTAAACCAAGAAGGAGTTCACACCTGGTGGAAAGAGAGCAGAGGATTACCTTTGACATACAAATTGCAGGCACAGATGAAGCTACAAAACACACTTCTGCTCCTACAGAGGAAATGTCTACCTCCCAGCCCCCCAGCAAGCAGTAGTGATGGGCAGACAAATAAATTACTTTCATCTGCTGCAAAATGTGTACACACGTGTGCACACACAGACACACATACTCTTTGCAGAGCACAGTATAAAGCCAGGATCTCCTTGGCCATGTGGCATCTATTAACACAACTGATGAGAGGAGCCTGCACTCCAGCCGTGGGGACAGCTAAACCCCTAGGCTTCCACTTAACACTGGAGTAAGAATAATTCTGTGGATTCAGCACTGTTGGAGGCTGAGTAAAAAAATAAGCAAAATGCATCACAGACAAAAACAGAGACTGGGCCTGGCTGCCTGATCCCCCACTCCCTCCCGTGAGAACGATGAAAAATCTGTCTGTAAGCACACACTCTTCCACAGCAGGTTTGGACTGACCAAGACACAGGGAGTGCTCTTAAGTCAGCTTTCTCTATCCTGCCTTCTGAACCAGTTAAAGCTTTTACCCAGCACGTGTGGGAAAACACTCATTAGGATGTACAAGATTCAGTTTTTAAGTACAAACAGGATGGAAAATTAATCTAGTCCAAGGATGAAACGTCAAGGAAATTAGAGGGGGAAAACCTATGAGGTCATTTTATTCAACTCTTCTCCACTTTTAGCAACCAGTGCTGGATTGTTCCTCTTGGGCCTGATTCTTCCCTTGTTTACAACAGTTTAATGGTCAAACCTATCACGTACCTGCAACACTGATAACCAAAGGACCTGCACTGAACAAGGGTGCTCCCCTGCAGCAAGGGATTTACCCTCTGCAAACCAATGCTTGCTTGCTCACTGTTCCCCTCGCAGTGATACCAGTGTGTACCATCCCCCTGAGCCCTCTACCACAGGGACTATCCACACCTTCACAAGAAGCCAGAATGGGCCAAGCTTCTGTCAGGGCCCAGAACAGCTTTACTGAGATGTAAGAATAAGAAATTTCACAAGACCCAGTCCTAAAAAACAGAGAGGGAAAAGGCTTCCTTGAACCTTCAGTTACTGAACTTACCATGATCTTTGACCAGAGCTTCCATCTCCTCCTGGACACCTTTATGCCACTCAGTGATGTCCACATGCAGAGAGTAGTCGCAGCAGGATTTGCTGTCTGCCCATTCTCGCCACTGGTCAAACGCAGTCAGCAAACTGGTCCCTGGCTCAGGAACCACGTGATCAACTGGGAAAGACAACCAATAAATAGTAAATAAATAGTAAATGGCTGGTGCAGCAGCTTTCCTGGATGTCCAAGATAGAAAGCATACTCTGCAGAGGCTGCTGCTGAGAAAAAAAAGAGACAACCCTTCCCCTTAAAATATAGGAATTTGAAACACCTGGTTTCTGAAGTCCCACATCTGAGAATACAGCCAAAAAGCTAATTATAGAGCAGAAGCTGAAGGAAGCAGTTCAATTACTCCAGCCTGTTCACTGCAATTGTTTGTGAATGGAGCAAATGAAATCCTAGGGCAGCAAACACCAACCGCTGCAGAGCTCTCTCAACACCACTCCTCTGTTTGGTGACAAACGACACAGGCAAGATCCCCTGTGAGCATCAGTAAGCAGCGCCCAGGACTCAGCACCTCATGTTCAAGCAGTGCCTTTGTCTGCACCTCTGAAGATGCTAGAAAAGGTACCCGAATAGTGCACAGGTTTAGTACTACAGGCACAGTGACAAGTGTGGACTCCACACATGGATCAGAACTGCTTTGTGCTACACATCCCAAATCAGAGCACCTTCCACAGACAGCGTACAGGAAGAACTGGAAGAAACAGGACCCACAGCCTCTCGTGGCTGGAGACAACTCCTGACAACAAGATGGTCCTGCTTGCCTCTGGCATCTGCCCAGTCTGAGGATCACTCTGTTCCAGCCTAACACAAGGTCTAGTCACAGCTGCGTTCACAGGCAGCTACAGGACACTCCAGCAATGCCAGAGATGCAGAACAGCATCCAAGGGGACCAGAAGAGATTTGCATCTGAAGATTTACTGTTCCTCCCTATACTTTGAATAGCATTCACATTTTTATTTGAACAGACAGGATCTCTAAAATCTTTACCAGACACAGTGAAATAGAAAAAGCAAGTCAGCATCTCAGAAACTGGACTGCTGCTGAGAGAGTAGGAAAAGCAGGCAGGTCTTCAGGGGTCACAAACTGGGCAGGCACTGTTAGGAGGAGAGAGCCCTGGCTTGATTTTACAGCAAATCACACAAAATTTAAGTTGCTTCAATTATTAGCAGAGAAATTAAAGAAGTTTATTTTTAACTTTACTGGTGAATATCTGAGCTGCCATCAGCTCAGCAGTTAGCCCTAAATCACAACTGAGATAAGAGACAAAGTCCTTGGGCCCTGCTCGCTCTCGGTGAAGTACAAAAGCTTTGCTTCACCCCCAGACACCCACCCTAGATTTACTGGTTCTGCACTGCCTTAAGAACTGGATTTACACTGGGAACTCTTGACCCGCTACAAAAGCAATACAGCTTTCCTGAAGAACCCAAGAGCTTCAGCCACCTGTGTTGCTAAAGACATCTCCAACATTTGAGACGTGAAAATACTGTAGAAAGCTGAAAGGATTACCCAAAAGAACTATCCTTCCCACAAAACTCTGCCCATCCTCTCTCCCTTTTGCAAAGGTGACTGTGTGCAACACAACAGCAGTTAGCATATTTGTGCTCTTCCAAGAGGCTTGGAAATCTACACTATGAGTGAAAGCTCTAAAATTTGCTCAAGGATGTGCTTTTCACCACCCTTTGGGAAAAGCAACCCAGACTTAACTAGATGATAAACTGTCCTGTCTTTAAAAAAAAAATAATAATCCAATCTTCATTCCATGATCTCCTCCCCAGTGGTCAAAAACCTTTCACTGACTTCCAGACTGAATTGCTTCTTGGCCAGTGCATAGCCCCTTCTCACTCTGCCAAAGTTAATCTTTAGCTTAAGTAGTGTGAACAATAAGGAGAAAACAAACATTTGTCTCTGCATTACCAATGGGATACAGAGAAAATCAAGGTTTTCACAGCTGTCCAGTGCCTCAACATAAGACCTGTCTTCCTCAGCCCACTAAATAAACGGCTAAAAAATCCCATTTAATCTCTAATACAACACAGTAATAAATCCACCTCATTAAATGAAAGGTGCCCTAAAAGCTCTATCAATCCCCAAGATGATACATGGCTTATGGGCATTAGGAAATTCTGCTTGCAGGCACCAAGGGGTTAACACAGTGGAGTCTTCACAACCCAGCATGGAGCCCCCAGGAATGATTCTGGTGTCTGGGATCAGAGCTTTATCACCATCTTATTTCATGCACTGCCCAAGTATGACTAATGGGAGTTAGTGGAGGGAGTAGGAGAGGGGGTAAGGGAGCTCTGTCAGATCTTTGACAAAGTCAAACCACAGCTGGTTACAATAAGGATATGGGATGGAGGTAGCACTGCATATGTGCATGAAAGTCAGCTCTGCAGATTAGGAGTATCACATATGGAAGCTGTGCTGCCGACACATCTCAGAGCAGCTCCCTTGAGCTCACCAATAGCCAAATCACCCATCATCCCCACCAAAACAGAACATAGCTTGTTTCCATAGCAGCTCTGCCAGGCAAATATTACTGATCAACCACTTCCTTTTAAATTCATGTGGAACCAGTAAGCAAAAAGGCCTGAACGTGCTGGGCAAACCAACAGTCTTCAGAAGCTTGGAAATGAAAGAGTCCAAAGAGACTCAGTGAAGGAGCAACACGGTAGAAAATACCATGGGATGTCTGACACAGCATCCTGAAGCAGGAAGGACACTGTGCTGCTGCAGATGGGGCAGCAGAAGCAGTAACATAAGCAATGAGGAAGGTGGATGTAGCTCTAAGTGCTAGATATAACTCAGACACAAATACAAATGCCTCCTCAATTTTACAATCCCTTGTTACAATGGAAGGGGCCAGCTATATTGCATGGATCATGGCCTAAATGCCAGGTCTCATGAAAGGGTTGGGGTTTTCTGGAGAGTTTTCATTGTTTTGGGGTTTTTTTTCAGAAAAAACATAGTATCTAGAGCCCAAATAAATATGAAGGAGATCCTTTAAAGAAGAACAGTCAAGATTTATTTTTTTGTCTTCTGTTAAAAGAACTGAGCACTGCAACTACTTCTGCCTATGGATAGAAATCGCCCACGTACAACTCAGAGGAAGTTCTCCTTCCAGTCCTCAGGCACAGCTCAAGAGCTCAGAGTAAAACAAAAAGCTTTTTCTTTCAGGTCCCTGTGCTTCAGATCAGTACAAAGCAGCTGATGAAAGCTCCATCCACTGCGTTCCCACAGCCCTGGGTTCCCAGGATGACCCTTGGATATGATCTGCAGCAGGACCAAGGACACAAGGTCTTCTGACCCACAGGAGAACATAGCAAACCCAGCCATGGAGATTATCCTGGAGGCTTCCCATGTGAAAAGCAGTGTGCTGTCCTGACCCCACTGAACCACTTGTCCCTAGGGAACCCAACAGTTTACTGCCCCATCCTTCACTCCTTCACCTCGGAAAGCATTTTTTTTCCACTTCAGTGGCCTCATGTCTGCAGGACACACAGTAAACTGTTGCAAGAGGCTTGTTGTCACCCCTTTATTTTCTAGACCACTACAGCCTTGATCTCCTCTTGCTTCCAAGCCCAGATGTTTTCTTCCTGTTGTTGATTACTGCTGTACAAATGATGTCAGCTGCTGGGGTCTGAAAAGGAAGTTGCCAGCTCAATTTAAGCTCAAAGCTTGCTCCAAAAACAGAAACAAAAGGAAGAAAAAAAGAGAAGAGGAAAGATCCTTTAAGCATCACTTCATCAGTACTGAAACCTTCAAAGGAGGAATTAAATAGCCTGTGGTACTTGTAGTGGCTCCCTGAATCACAGTGCATTTCAGACCTAATCCTAGTATCTCTGTTTAACATACACTCTCAGCAAGTTAACTGGCAAAGCTGAGGTTAGGATTACAGAGCTTTCTCAGCTATGACCCAAAAACATTCTGTAGATTCATCTTTTAACCTTCTGAAAGGCAGAATCCAAAAATGCAACAGCCTGTGGCTTTGCACAGCAAGCAAGCTGGTTTACATCAGCAAAGTAATTGCTTTTTATAAATAAAAAAAGAAAACATGGATTTTGTACTTTACAAATAATCTAATTTTCCCTTGGTAGGATACTGTCAAGATTCCAAGATTACTGGATAGTCTGTTTATCTTTTTCCCAGACAAACCAATCATGTCCCTCTGGGCGGCAGTGGGATCCAAGCACCTGCATACCCAACATGCCATGATTGTTCCAGCCACAACCACTAAGACTTTAATTACCTTTGCAGTGTGCCTGGTTTTGCTCTCCCATCATCACCTACAGTTTCCACATTGCTTACAAGGTGCATCTGCTCTTACTTCCAAGTAATTTCCATCCGTTGTCCATGGCTGTTCCTCTGCCTGTCTCCCTCGTGATCCTTGGACAGATTAATCAGCTCAAGATTAAAGGCAGACAATAAGCTGAAGTGAGACAACAACACTAACCACTGTTAGCTTATCTGTGTGGCTTTAATACACCAGAGCTGGCGTTGAGCCACACTGAAATGTTGTATGTCCTGTGAGGCAAAAAGGCTGAATGCTGTGGGGAGAGATAATAACCCCCAGTGCATCAGGCACTCAATGTGAAATAAGGGGAAGGCAAATACTTACAGGAATTGATTTACAGAGAACTTTCCAAGTATGGGGGAAGATAAAATAGTATTGTTTTAACATAAGCATGAAAAATCTAAGTAGGGTAGAAGTGAGCACATCCATTTACAAATCACTAGCATTTACTACTCACATCACTGGGCAGTGGTTTAAGCATCCCCTTGTTCTTCATTCAGCTGCTAAGTCTCCTCACTTCAAAACCGCACGGACCTTCTAGCTGAACAATACACTTAAAATGGTGCCCACCTCAGCTTTAAATAGTGGCTTTATAAAAGGTTGCATCATATCTTGGCTTCCTCTCATAAACTTGGATACACTGTGGCTTTCTGGTCCTTAAAAGCTTTCCTGAAGCAGGGAGATATCTGCAGCTCTCACTGAAGCCCTGAACAATTGCCCAGTTTGAGAAGGGAGGCAGGTCTTCTGCATGGGCATGAGGTATCACACACAGAGGACTGGGGAAGCCTTAAAAAGTCCCATATAATCTCTCCCTGGCATT